ATCGTTTTAATTGGGGGGGGGGGGGGGGGGACGCAGCATCGGTGTAATGATGTTTGTAATGTTTCTCGTTCATGCATCTGGTATTTTCTTCTGTACAAACGGTCCCTCGTGCAGCCCGTACATAATAATAATAATCATAATATTTCCAGGCGCGAACCTCGCGAGCAATCTTTTGTTTCCACCAATATTTCCATGCTTATCGCGGCGCAAACGGGGACCGTGCGGAATATATTGTTGTAAATTACCGGGTTTTATAAATTTGCCGAACCGGTGCCCAGGGAAATTTCGTTCCTTCAAATTGCCGCGGAACTCGGTGTTTCGAATCTGCCCTGAAAATGCGATGTGGACGACGATAACGTTAAGGAGACAATGGTTCGAGTGCGCGCGATTAAATTAGACAGTGCACGCGATATCCCGGACGAGCAATTTCGTGTTCGTTAAAAGAGAATGTTCCCGGAAAAGTGTAAAGTTAACGCGACCAAAGCCGTCTTGTTTGTTGTTTCGTGTCCTGCAACTTCGAGCATCCGCTCGAGATCTGCGTGTTAAAAGTGACGAAAAAATTGGAACGGTCGCGAACGCTGCGCGTGCCGGCGAACGCCGGGGCACGAATGGGATTCGCAGTCCAATTATAACATTACATCTCAAAGAACCCATTGAAGACCTTTAACGAACCCGAGCAGTATTCCGCCCCGAGAAAAATGCAAATTGGCTCGATATCGACACGGCCAGCGCGCGTATTTCCCTTTTTTCCTCCTCGGCTTCCGTTTCTTCGCGAAAGAACACTTTCGGTCTCGGTCGCGAACTTTCATCGAGACAGAAGCAAAATGAACGGCGAGAAATAAGAAACTAGAAAGAGAGAGAGAGAGAGAGAAGCCGATGGAAACCGAAAGGTTAATATCAGCTCAGGTGGTATTTGATTCACCTGGCCGCAGTAGGTATTTCATACGTAAATACGGCTGACCTTTCCGCGCAGGGAAAGACCTTTCCCTGAAACAACGTACGATGTTAGTTTAATTATCATGAAAGAGTTCTGCGTTGGCGTCGCGCTCACGTTTCCATATTATTCATTATTTTCAGTACCGCGTGTCGAGCATCCGGCATCGATAGTAATCTGCCCGATACAATCCTACGTTCCAGCAAGATTACTACTCTGGATCTTCTCATCAACGCTCGAAATAGCTACATAATTCCACTATTATAGACTCGGTTCCGGCTCTTGTTTAAACAAATTTCACCGCCGGCGTTGTTCAAACATTAGTGTTTCGCGTTCCCATTCAATCTGGACCCTTTTTGCTTTCCGCTCCGTTCATTCAAGCTTTGGAGCTGGGATGGATCAAGTGGATTATCTTTACTTGGTCAGACAAGCAGGGAAAGCATTTTATATTTTCACAAACCCTAATGTTTCTTATGTTACGACGTCCGCTTAATTTATAGAAATAATAATAAAATAGTATATAGGCGTAAGTAGATTGTTCCCTTTTAGTCAGACAATCTGAGAGAGCATTTTATATTTTAACAGACTCTAATATTTCTTATATTTTTATGTCCACTTAATTTGTAAAAGCAACAGTGCGGTAAATTGGCACAAGTAGATTGTCCCTTTTTGGTCATACAAGCCGAGCAATCATTTTGTGTTCTACTATACCGTTATGTTTCTTTCATTCTGTTCACTTAATTCAAAGAATTAGGAGGGCGTGATAAACAGGCGCAAATTATCCCTTTTAGGTCAGGCAAGATTGAGGACAAAGTCATATTTGTTCTTTTTATACAAATTTATAATTCACTAGATTCATTTTGGTGGACTGTCACTAGGTGTAATTAGATTATCCCTTTTACGTCAGATAACCTTGCAATGTAGGTAACAAAAGCGCAAGATGTGACTTTATTTCTGTATTAGGAACTGTAACTTTAATTGATTCAACTGATGGAAGATTGGAACGAATCTGTCAGTAGATTGATCCTGATCGGGTCAGGCAAGCTTGGAATATGGATTGCACCGAAATAGAAGGTTATATAATGATCGGAGCTCGGCTTTTCCTCCAAATCCGATTGATCGAATTGCTAGGATATTAATAAAAATCTAAGTACAGTAATGTCTCCCTAACTAACGCTCAGATTGCGCACAAAAATGGACAATTTGGGAAGAGGAGATGCGGTTGTTCAAGCCTTATTGGCTCGTTTTTATAGTTACCGATTGCCAATAACTATAAAAACGAGCTGCAAGACTCGAATAATCGTATTTCCTCTTCCCGAATTGTCCATTTTTGTGGACGATCCGAGCGTCAATTAGAGAGACATTACTGTAGATCGTTTCGGACTGGATCGGACAAGTTCGAAACATCAAAACAGCACGCAGTTTCGTGCTCGCAACTGCTTGGCTGCTTAAAGCATCGCTGAATCTGCCCCTCTCGCGTTTCCGGGAGAATATTTCCTACGAATTCTTCAATTCCCATTCACTGCTTTACCCGATCGTCATATTCAGAGAAATCTTGCGCAACTCGAGCAGTCCTTACAGCGTGTTACGTCCGTGAAAAGCTTGGAATCAAGATGAAGACGCTTCTGATGATCTGCATTATACGATTCTGCGCCAGATATTCCCTTTACGGCCTCCGATCCACGGCTCCCCCTCACCCCTACCTGGAACATCGCTTCAACAAAAGTATCCACGGAAATTGCGGATCCACTTAGAAGCCAATTGAAAAATCACTTTCCCGATCCGTGTGCTCGCAGACGAACTTTCGAGAGGCAGGACCTTCCGACCATAAGGTCACGTCGAAATAAATTTCGCGAGCTCTCCGCGGAAACGTTCGTCTTTCAAAAGAAGCAGCCACAGTTTCCTACTCCGAACGAGAGAGAGGATCTCGCAAGCGACTTAGGGCTCTCGGAGGGGCGGCGAGAGGCGAGGAGAGGCATGAAGCATCGCCGGAAGACAATACGCATTTTCGTCGTCGACCGCGCAGCTTTCAGAACCGTGTCACGAACTTTGCCCTTTCGCGATCGTTCTTCTGCGGCCGGCCAGGGGCATGCCGGTACAAAACGCTATGGGATAGAACGTGCACGAACACCATGCTATCCCAGCATCGCCGCCATGGCGCCGGGCAGAAGGTCGTGGGTTCCGCGGAAGTTTCGTCGCGCCTCCGGTCCCACGCGAGAAATGAATCTTCCCCGGGCCATTAATGGTCCCGTTTCCGCGTGGGCGTCGCGTTAAATCAATAACGAGACGATGCGACGGATAAAAAGACCTATCAGAGCCGCGTGACCGCTTGAGCCGGGCCATTGTTGGAAGAATTCAATTGAATCTCACGCCTGAAATTTACGCCGCCGTGCGACGGAATAATGCCAGCGTTTTTATTGACGACGACTCGCCGACCGGAGGAATATTATCGGGAAAACGATCCTTGTCCCAGCTCGAGATGCCAATGTGAATTTCGTGCTCGCCCGCCGATCGGCGTTCGTTCGCCGCGATCGTATCTCGGCTGATTTACCCTGTCCGAGTCAGACGTGCTTCGATTGTTGCTAGTTAATACGATTTTCCAACCTGGCTAGACTGGAGTAGATTCGTCCTGTCTGGATCGGGCATCGTTGAGGCATTCAGACGTGTTCTAAAGAACATTGATTCACTGGAACGCGATAAAACGTTCTGTAGAATTCGTGGAATATAAGTGGATTGGTCCTGCCTTGGTCAGACATACTCGGATTTGCTTTTACTAGGAACTTATTCTACGAAACATCGATACGCTGCAATGTAATAACACTTTTCGTAGAATTAATGGATTCCAAGTAAATTGGACCTGCCCGAGTCAAACATGATCGAATCATTCGCAGTTGATCTGGTTTTTCATGAATGTAATTTTGTAAAATGTTGGTGCGGTGCGACGTGATGCAATTTTCTGCAAAACTGGTAAACTCTAAGTGGATTGACCCTGCCTAGATTAGACACGGCTGGATCATTCTTTCTGCAGAAACGGTGAACTCTAAGTAGATTACCCTTAGGCTGGTCAGACATTCATCGCTCGAACCGAGACGCACCCGAAACGTGACACCGTAGAGGTTACCTATCCGAAGTACTTCAACCCTTGTTAACTATTTATGCTCTAGAATTGCGTACCGGTGTATCCTCGACCAACAACAAAATATTAAAAAATTCTCCGAAAAGATGCGTCGCTGCGAAATTGTTCACGAGAGTTTTCGACGAAAGAAATTTTTTCCTGAAATTTTAGTACAATTAAATATTTCGCGGAACGGATCTTTCTAAAAATTGAAACGGACAAAGAGCGACTTTTCTCTGAAGGGAAAAATTTATTCTCATCGGTCTGCGCGGGTGGGAACGGTGCTCCACCGGCAAGTGGATCAAAAAGAAGGTTGGAGGAAAAAAAGAGAACGGAGAAGCGATCAGATTAGTTCTCGCGGCTGGTTCCGCATTCAATGAATGCTTATGCAAATCTCCTCGTGGAAACTGGTTCGGCCGCCTTAAGATTTCCACTCGCTCCTAATCCTCTCGGCGGCTCGCGTATCGCGCGGCATTATGCGCCTGCACTTCCGTCGCCATTCAATTTCCTTTTCCCAGAGATTAGGGAATCGACGCCCGAAAGAATCCCTTTGCATTCGGGATTAATGGCGGATTAAATATCGCGAGAATCTTTCGGAATTCTCGCGCAGAGTGGCTGACCCGAATGACCGGCGCCGTGCAGCAATTTATTTTGCGACAATTCTACGAAAATGTTAGTTCAATGATATGTGGTTTAATTCAGCCATTCCGATGAGTAGACTGCTGACATTTATGCAAATGCATATCTTTTTAGAAAATAACGGTGCCAAGGGGTCCTGAGCGGAAAATAAATTTGCGACGTATGAATTCATTTTTAACGAAAAAACGCCATCAAATTTACATGAAAAGCTCGTAATGTGCTGCAATTCGAAGTATAATGCACCGGAATAGCTCTAAAACGTTTCTTAATACGTGATATTACACTTAACATTTAATATAGTATGTGTTTACTACTAAAATACTGCATATTTTCGTGCATATTTTTTACATTCTCCTACATATTTAGCATACTTCTCGTGGGTAAAGGTCATATGCACTTTGCGCATATTTCTTGTGCATAAACATCGACAGTCTACTAATGAGTTACATATCGCGTACATAATGAAGTATGTACTCTCATAAGAATCGGAGTTTTCGCAGTTAATTTGGACGGTTTGCGTTTGTTACAGGGCCACCGAGGGCGGTCTAGCACCGGATGCAGCTGCAGCCGCACCAGGCGCAGGAACCGGTGAAATCGTCGGGGGTCCGAGGACGCCTCAGCAAACTGCCGCGCAAAAACGATTGCAGGCGACGCAGGCGCAGGTCGATGAGGTCGTCGACATTATGAAAACAAACGTCGATAAGGTCCTGGAGCGTGATCAGAAGCTCTCCGAACTCGACGATCGAGCAGGTAAAATCGACATCGATACGCCTCTAACGATCCTCGAAAATCCCCTGTACCGTCACACTGCTGGAAACCATGCGAAAACCTACTTTTTTCCACTTCGGAATAGGGAACAGTGTCGATAATCAATTTTTTGTTTTGTTTTGTTGTACAATTTATTTTTCCTGACATATCGATCTCGTCGTGTAAGTAAATTAATAAGTAACTTAATTAAATTTCGCGCTGAGAAAACTCACGCCTATTTCATGATCGCTATGATCTTGAGATAAGACACCGTAGGATGAGCGCAATAGCACATCGTCACCGTAGAATTCTGAGAGAAATATCTTCACGGAAGGACGATGCAAATGAATTGTGTATAATTTGTTCTGAATTAACGCAGTGATTATACCTGGCTTGGCCAGACAATGGCAACACTGCCACAAAAGAATTCTATAAGAGCAGCCTCAAACGAGTCAAATGCAAATGAGTTATCCCTGACCAAAGTACATCTCCATCTCGCTACGAATCAGGCTATGTTCCAGTTATCGCACAATGGCAGTAGATCATCCCTACCGTGGCCAGACAATCGTACGATGTACTACTACAAAAGGGTACCCTTTGAAATGCTACGCAAACTGTATGGCGAATGAATTATCTGGGGGACGAAATTATTTCTCGAAGATCACACTTCCAGTAGATTTCTCTGCCACGATCGGACAGATTACTCAAATTCTAAAGGAAGAATCGTTTGAACCCACTTCCGAAAGAACGAGATACGAACAAATTATATCTCATCGTACATTTCGCCATTTCATCAAATTTCTTCTCATACTTTGCTCACAGTGTGGTGCAAGTAGATTGACCCTGTCGTGGTCAGACAAATTATCACATTTTTCGAACGCACATTTTTTATCTTTAATCACTAGACAGCGGATTTTTATGCAAAATAAAAATTGTCTTTAACTGTATTTAATGTTCTGCATTTGGTCTACTCATTTTTGCAGTAAATGTATAAAATCCGCTGTCTGCTAATCACTTTTCTCCTAATGCTGAGCTCACAATGATGCGAGTAGATTGTATCAACCATTAGCAGACAAACACAGAAACTACCAGTACAGATTTCTTCAAATGAATATCTAAAGTAACAAGATGCAAATGAATTTTCTCTAATCACATTTCTTCTAATATTGTACTCATATGCTAAACCGAGTAGATGGTTCCTACCATGATCAGACAATCGTTCGAGTTATCAGCGAACACTTTTTAAATGCACCTCCAAGGGAACATCAATCAGTGTAAGTCCACTTAAAAATGAACTTTCGATCGGTAAATCAGTACAGTTCGATTTCGTCGAGAATGATTAAACAAAATTGTTCAGAGAGAATTGTTTTCTCTAAAAAAAAGAAACATTGCCATTTTTCTTTTGTTTCTGTTCTGGTTAAATTCATTAGTATATCACCTTATAATGAAAATTGCGCTTCGCATTATTACTGGCAATTTTGTTACAACTAATTTGCAAAATCCTTGTTCATCCCAGTTTTAAGGTAAACGGACTTACACCGATTGGCTTCTGAGCCGTCCGTATCACTGATCAAGAAGTGAACCAAGTAGATTGTGCCTGCCACGGCCAGGCAAGCCTTCCAAAGAAAAATAAGATTCCGGAAACGCGACGGTTTCCAGATGGGATGCCGACAATGAAAAGCATGGGCACCCATGCGTCCAATTACTACGAAATAATTCGCATTAATTGGCAATTACTAGAACGCCCGGATGCGGCCGGAACGTGCGCCAGGATTGTTCCCTTAGAATCCGGAGCGTAACGGCATTACGTAAAGACAATACTGGGGGGGGGGGGCGAGGTAGGATGGGAGTGGGTTACACGCGAACAAATGAACACGCCCGAGATATTATGAATGGACGGTGGATGTTCGAACGGAACTTTCCCCGGAACGTCCGTGGAACGAGGGTGGACGGAGACGAGGCGTTTAAGGTGCAAAACTGTCAGAGTAACGATTACGGGGGAGGACAAAAGGCGGGCAGGATTAAGCCGAAGGACGAGCAGTCGTTCGAAGGATCTTCCCTCCATTCATCCTCGCTCGGCGCGCCGCGGTGTTCAAGTATAATAGTTCGACCCTGCGCGTCCGACTGCACACGGATATCGATTACTGTGTCGGTCTCTGGAGGAATCGATGCCGATGCCGTGGCCGGTGGGTGCCGCGTCACACGGTGGCCGATTTTTGCCTAGAAACCTGGACAACAAACTTCACAAAATTAGGGGAGATACCGTCAAACTTCGAGCGGACTCCGACTTCGCGTGGAACAATTTTACGCCGTTCTGTTTGCCCTCGGTTTACCTTAGAGGAGATCTAGAACGGTCTGCTAATGTTATTTGTTTACTAGATCGCGAAGCTTTATGCGTTCGCGGCGTGTGCAGATTTTTTAAATGCAAGAAAACGTAGAAATTAAAACGAGATCCGACAGAATTTTCGTTTTGCAACGAGTAATCTTTTCGCGACGGAGCAGACTTTCCTTTTATGTTTTGTCATTATAAAGAATTGGATGTGTGAACAAAATATTATAAAATATTATATAATATTTTAATGTAAAAATAAAATATTATATTATAATAATACATGTATGAACAAGCAACGTATCTTCAGACTGTTTCACCCGAGATTACAGGAGATCTAAGATCCCTAAATTTCGTGCTTGTCTTTGTTCGTTGGCCAACGGTCACTTTGTGATATTTGGTTTTCATTAATCTTTTAAGAACGCCCAGATCTTTCCTAAACACGGGAGACACCTTTGACGCTGATTCCGAGTGTAACCCACGCCTCTGCGAGAAGATGCACAATGCACTCTCTCGCGGGAGGCTGGAACTCGTTAGGGAAGTACCGTGCCGTCAACGTAATTGCCCCCCCCCCTCCACCCACAATTTGTTCGTCATAGCAGAGAGCTGACATAGCATTCTCATGCGGCGGAATTCTGCGATTTCGAATGCGAAATTTTCCAGATGGGAACCTTCTAGAATCCATTGAGACTGCGATCGGAATTGTTTGTTTATCTTTGAAATAGTTTATCCGATGTTTCAATGGAAAAACGAGGTGTCGGTGTAAACCTGTATTGTTGTTTGCAGATGCGCTTCAACAGGGAGCGTCGCAGTTTGAACAACAGGCGGGAAAACTGAAGAGGAAGTTCTGGCTACAAAATCTGAAGGTGAGAAGTTTGATAGATCATGATTAAAAAAAACATTACCGTTCGATCGCGATACGTGTGTGTTCAGTTGTCAAGCTATCTATGCATTTAGCTGTCAAAGAATAAAAAATAGTCTGACCGATTTAAAGCACAAAGATGGAACTTTGTTTCGACTGTTCGAAATCCATTTTTCTCTATTTGCCACTCGATCATAGAACCCGATAATTGATTTGTTGGTTTAATGGAAAATATTTGTGCGTGCGTGTACGCTTAATCAACTTTTCGTCGTTTAACGTTCTCCTTTAACAAGTTACAAAAATAACTCTGCTCTCTCTGTTCCGCAGATGATGATCATCATGGGCGTCATCGCACTAATCGTCTTGGCCATTATCGTCGGTAAGTAGCCAACGGTGTAGATGCACTTTGAAAAAGCTAACGACACCGCCACTGTAATTGTCTTTGAGTGTTCTGTGTCATTTCGTCGATGACACCCACGCCACGATTTCGAGCGATCGATTCAGAACTCGATAGCATTCACATTTTGCAGAAAATCCACATCAGAATCCATGATTCGAACAAAGAACGAACGAAACAGTTACGGAAAAATACATATCATTCAAGAAAATTGGAAACTGTTCTCTTGTACCATCTATTTTTATATCAAAGTAATTGTCTTCGATTCGATAATAATATCGAAATAAATTGATAATTTTAAATTTAATATACATGCGGGTGTAACAAGTCTTCGGACATCTTTTTAAACGGTAACATTTTTTTTAAGCTGTACTAAACGACTTGAATTGTTTGGAAATGTTAGATAGACTAGGTTACTGTACAACGACTAAAATAATTTCTTTTAATTTTACCATTACTTGGAATAACAAAATACATTTTTTTAATTTTCGTTATAGGCTCAGATAAGTGATATTAGCAAAATTAAAAGAAATTGTTTTAGTCATTGTACGGTGAACTAGTCCCAGTGAACATCTCCCAAAAAATTCAAGTCATTTAGATGGTTTTAAAAATGTTACACTGTTTTAGAATGTGTCCGATGATTTTTTACACCTTTTTACACATTTACTTACACATTTTTTTTTTATATCAGTCGACGCGAGTTTTCCAAACGAATCGATCGTTCAGGCCCACCATCACTGTCAGTCTGCATTCCCGTGCTAACAAATAAGAGCAAACGGAACATTTAAAAAGTATACTCTCTCTTTTTAGTCCTTCGCAAAGAATTCGTGCGAGCTCTCGACCGCTCGCGGCCGAGAAATTCTTTCTCTGACGATAGAGCGATTATTTCTCACTGCCGCGCCGATACAATTTAACGTGTGAACTCTATGTGTTTCTCTTTTCCCGTCTAGCGAACTTCGTGTAGACGTGCTGGTTGGTGGAAGAGATTTGTGTGTGAGTGAGTCTGAAGGTAGAACAAAAAGAAACCAAAAGCAACACACAAACTGCGACCGTTTTCCGTGTTACTGTTGTCTCTGTATCTATCTCTGTCTCTCTCTCTGTATATTTATTTCTCGTTATTTCCGCTCTTGTCCACCTTGTGCTCCTTACCTTCTTCTATTCTAGTAGGTCGTGTGTGTAACGAGTACCTGTGTATACGGACATGTGTATATCTCCGTTCTCTCGTTGTTTCTCTGTATTACCAAACACCCGCAAACCTTGTTCAAACAACTCTCTTGTCGTCCCGAGTATCTCTCTTATTTATCGTCCCGCGCAATTGTTCGCAATTTCGTGAGAATCTTTCCGAATTTCCATCGATCCATCCGGGATCGATGGAAACGCTCGGGGAGCTTAGAAACAGAGAAAGATTCGATGTTCTCTGTTCAAACAAATGCGAAAATTCTAGGATAAATCTGACCTCCAGCTGAGATCCGTATATATTTTTCAGTTGCAACGATTAAAGATGTTTTTTGACTGAACATGGTACTGCAGTTCGAAGATATATTCATAGTTTAGTATTAACATTATTCTATAACATTCTAAGCTATGGATCTTTGTCCATATCTTACGAAAGACAATAATTTGAAAAGGGTCGCACTAGTTCTCGATTTCCTCCGTACAATCGAATTCAAAATTTAAAGAAAAAAAGGTCTAGCACCTAGCTAAGACCTCGATGTGCATCTCAGAATTTTATCCGAATTTTTTCATTGCAAAAATAATGGATATTCTTTTACGAGACGGAGATCTTCGATCTGCGAAATTTGCACGCGTTTGCAGCGCCGTAGACTCGAAGAAACAATACGAAACGTAAAGTCTGACAATGTTGAACACACCTGTGCTACACTCGTGAATATCTTCTCACCTCGAAACAGTTCCCGGAAACGTTGCATAATTAAGCAACGCCTAATTTTCGCAATCGCGAGAGTGAGTCTCCGCAGCTATTCCGATAGCAACCTCGAGAACAAGAAAGATTCTGACGAAATTGACGCTTGACGTCGCTATCTGTATTCCATCCACCCCCTAACAAACCGTCCCTGTCCTTTGTGGCTCGTTGTATATTCATGAATCACCGATTTAATTGGCCCGAGGCTCAATTAACGATCCCGCGCACGCGACGTGCCGCGAGACGCGCGAGGACAAAGGATTCGAGAAAAAGATCGAGGGAGAGGGATATGAAAACAAAAATACTTGGAAAAAAAGAATAAGTAGAAAGATAAAATGTTGAAATGAGGAAGAAAACGTAGAGCCAGAAGGACAAAAGACGATGGTTTGTGAATCCTCGACGGGCTGCGAGACCAGCGTCGAATGCCCAGAGCAACACGATCAACAGACAGCGACACCACAAACATCAACAACCGAGAGGCTTTGCCGGATCAAAGAGCTTAAACGCCGTGAATCGATGCTTTTAATGACTTATCGACGGGAAACCAGTTTTCCAAATTAATTATCGCACTTAGCTCGCGCTACGTAATTGCACCCGGCTGCTTTGACGCGTCGCGTTCCGGACCTCTGTCCGATCTTGTTCTGCCGTTTAATTTGAATCGTGCCTCGGCACAGGCTGCTTTCGCTGAATTATGCAGACCGTTTTTAACAGCATATCCGCGACACAGTTGTCCCGATACCGTATTTCAAATGTAATCGTACAGGCCGTTACGGTATTTAATTTGAAACGCGAATAAGCTGAGCACCGTGGCTCATTCCGGACCGAATTCCACGAGTTTCATTATTTCGATTTGAACAGACTTTCGCGACGTCATTATCCATTTTTGCATAGAATCCAGCAGGTTATTTTAATATCGTCGACCGCTTTGATATTTTATCTTGAATCGTACGGACTGATTTTAGACCCGAACAAGCAGAGTGCTTCACGTAGACTTTCACGGGTTCGTTGTTTAACATTCAGTGCAGTTGCACAATTATTTTAATATTTTACTTTCAACGTATAACAATTGCACAGTTATTTCAATATTTTTTTATGTAATCGTGCAATGATTTTAATATCTTATAATTTTCCTGTTTTCGCATTTAACACTGGCTATGATTTTATTACATTGGAATATTGTTATAAACCGGCTGGTCTCCGAGTGATTTATGTTTTTAAATTGATTTTTCCGGCGTTCACGTTTCGCCAAAGCCTCTCACCATTTTTTTTTTTTCGATTTTGCAATAGGTTTTCGCGGTCTACTATAAGAGAATCGATGTAGATCATGAAAAATGATCGTAAACGAAAGCGCGAGACACTCTCGCGCCGAGAGTACAATGTTAGGAGTCGAAACAATTGAACGAAAACAGTTAAAGAAGTAATTGAAACGCGAGAAAGCACACTTAACCACTTACTCCCCGCCACGTAATTGACTGTTATGTGTCTGTCTGTACTCTTTTGGTGGTTATTACCCCTGTGTGTCTTCCCCGAAGTTAGTCCCAGCCAATGGTTTTCAATTTTCTGGTGGTTCACGAGACCGATAGAAACGGAACAACCTGAAATATATATAGACAAAAAAAAAAAGTTAAAGTAATAAGTAACAATATCGCAAACCGAAAACACGTGAACGAACGGGAAGAACGACGGATCGGAAATCTAACAATAAATATAATACAAAAGTCGAAACGAACGATCCGAAACACCACCGAGAAATGAAAACACGAAATGGACACCAGCACAATCGACCATTTTAACAACATCAACAACAACTACAAGCTTACCAAAATAAAGTCTCTCGTTTTACAACAGTTAAAGAAACAACAAGTACAACATCTCAACAGATATATTTAACCAACAACAGTAACAGTTAACAGATCGACAAAAGGTCTCTGTATAAGCTTTTGTTTAAAACACCCCCCCCTCCACTGTTCTCTTCGGTACGGTAAGCTACAACTTTTACTGATGCACTTTGGTACCATTTCCAATCTCTTTCTATACTTTTTTCTACCATTATTATACTACTTCTCGGCGGACGGTCGAAACCGAACTCAACCGTCACCGTTTAACAATTGTCGTATCGTCGGCGAACGACTGTTTGTTTCATACAAAATCTCCGTTGTTACACTAATAACAAAAAATGCATTGAGAACATTTTTCTGAGATCGACAATCGCGGCAAGATTATACTTAATCAACAATTTTCATAAAAATTTATGATAGTCCGTTAATTATTGTAATTCGAATAGAAACTGGTAATATGGTAAAATGGGATCGCAAAAATTAGAGAGAGAATCATTTTAAAACAAATTCAACCTGACACCGCACTCTTTCGATTGTAAATTTTCGAAGAAATATTTAGTACTTCGGTTTCGACTTACCGTTTCAACGTCCTTCGAGCTCGAGGATACCTTACAGGTTCTAATTTCAATTCTTAACCATTGTACGCTGCACGCAGAATTGAATCGTCAGTCTGTAAAACGATACAATACAGATATTATTGATTGCTGCGTTTACAAACAAAGTTTACTTTATTCGAGACAAAAACTTTCGTTAAGAATAAATGCCTCCGTCAATTCATCTCAACACACAGATCATTCTAAACTGTGGATATTTGTGTATCTACATATAAGACAATCATTTTGAGGAAGAAGCAAACATAATTCGGCTAAATATGGCTAAAATGTTGCCAAAGACTGCAGAGTTTTACAGAATAACAAGGGAACACGTTTTTTAAAATAAAAAGGGATTTGATTTTTATAAAGTTAAAAGGGATGAAATTTTTACAAAATGGAAAGGGATCGGATTTCTATAAAATCAAAAGGGATCAGATTTTTCTAATAATTGAAACGGGACGGATCCTTCAATTATAAATGGACCAAAGTCATAGCGTCTATATTTTTACAAAGTAAATTAAATGGAAAATTCTGCGCGCAGCATTCGAATTTTCTGCATATTCGATACAGCATGAAACTTCTTCTCGGCCACCCACAACCTCCCTTTCCCGCGCCCTTTTCTAGGAACTCAAACGGCAGAATATACAAATAACAACTTATTTATATATATTTATATATTTTTATATATTTTTATATACATATATATATACATATATATAATGTAAATATATATTGTCTCTGCGACTGAGCATATATTTCTGGGACGATCTTCAAGCAATCGCATGCCAAGTTTTATTTTTCTCTCGCTTGCCGAACGATTAGGATCTTGAAGCATGACGCGGTTTCGTGTTACGTGTTCGATTTGATAGTCAGAGCTTGTGCTCGTCGCGAGTCGCATGGCTTGATGGATCGCTGAAGAGTTTGATGGATTCTCGGCGAGACTTCCGGTCGATCGATCAACGAATGTGAATGGAGATCGCAACCGCGAGACATTCCGATCCCCCGGTAAATTGCTGCCGGAAATCTCGAGCGAGATAATTTTCTAGCGTTCGAACGATCTGTGTTGTGTAGTTCGGTAGCGTTTCTATGGTAGTCAGTGTACAGTTTTGTAATTGTTGCATGCGATTTTCTGTGTCTACGTGTGCGTAGATTGCGACATGCCGTTTTGCGAGGAACGAGGATCGATTACATCTTGACAGAGGAAATTGTTGAATTATGTGACGGAAATTATCCAATTTGAATTTTAGTTAAATTGCTCTCTTCAAGCACAGTATCGTTATTCTAATTACTGAGATAAATGCTAGATTAATTATTTATTTGTTAGATATTTTAATATACCGCGTGAATAATGTTGCGTCGAGAACAAGAAACGGTCTGATCAGCGGCGTCTAAATCTACTTCGCACTCGGATGTCGCCGGTACGGCGATACTGAATTAATATTTTCTCTTTCATACGGTAAAGTAAACATTTAAAATACACACATAAAATTTTAATAAAATTTTCACATTAATTTTAATATTAAATCTTATATACATACGTCAGAAAAATCTTCTGAGAGCAAAGGGTTAATTGATATTTGATTGGCTAAAATCTTGATTAGATAACCAATGATCGAACTGAACGACCTATCCGAAAAATATATTTCAATTACAATTCCTCGTGGTTTCCGTTGAAGTTACGATGAAATCGCGATCGATCCTCGGTCATCGACCATGAAGGAGTTGGCCCGCGGTTCTGCATGCGATCGCCGGCAAATGAAAGCGATCGAGCCGAGTCGATCCTGCCGGAAGAAAAAGATCCGAACGCCTCGACAGGTGATCGAAGAAAAAAAAAGCGAACGAAAAAAAAAACAATCGAAACCGAGTCGAAACAAACAAAAAAAAAAAAATAATAAGAAAACCGGTCCGGCGAAAACGAAAGGGGACGGTACCAAAACTCGGCTGTTGTTGTTCTTTTGCAGCGAGAGCCACCGGCGGCAGCGACTCGCAAAACTGAACACGCGAGTCAAACTAAAAAGAAAAGAAAACGAGAAACAGAACGAAAAGCAAAACCGAAACCGAAAAAGCTAAGCAAAACCAACAAAACGCAACCAGGAAACCAAAAAATTTGAAAAAGCTAAAAAAAAAAAAGAAACACACAAAAGAGCAACAAGTAAACAAGAGTCCACAAGCGATACGAAGTGAGAACGAACAAAGTGAAGAAGGAAGGAAGACGGGGAGAAAAGGAAACGAGATAACGATTGTAAAAAGAAAAGTCCTAAATAATTAATAGACACGGGAAATTAAAACGGAGATCGTGCCGGAAAAAGTTTGATGAAGATCCAAGGGAACAGCGTGGATAACCATAGATCGTCGACGAAGCATCCCGAGACGGCGAATCTTTCGAAGCAACCCGAAGAAGGATCGTCGATCATCTAGGTCCGGGAGAGACGCGATCGTAGTGATCGAGAAGGACGAGAGGCATCGATCACGGTTCCTATCGCAGCTCCGTCTGCTGTTCGAGCTATCCGGCGATGATCCAGGCTCGAGCAGAAGCGGATCTCGATCGAATATTCTCTCGCGAATGGACGAAGGCTGGCCGGAACGATCCACGGACGATACTCGGGGCTCGATCGTCCAGTGAGATCCTTGTAGTTCGTCGGTTGTTACATCGAACGGTAACGATAGAACGCGGGGGATCGAGGGATCGCGTGGGATCCAGGCGCGCCGGGGGTGGACGAATACGAACGATCGATAATAATAGAGAAATCGTTGCCTTCCTTCGTCCATGATTTCGTTGATCTACGCGGCAACCAAGGATAAATTCGATGGCCAGTGTGTCTGTGTATAAAATAATAATCGAGAAGAGGGGAAGATGGATCCACAAGACGAAGAAACGATTCTAGATCCGGGAGCAGATGATTTTCGACGAAGGCAGAGCCGGTATCGTAGGGTGTTTCTCATTGTACCCCTTTCCCCACCGTAATCAAGTGCCGAATATATAAATAAATGCGTGTATAAATGTATATCGACGTTTACTTTATAAATACAACGTGTGCGCGCGAGCGCGCGCCCTCGAGGGCCACGCGTGATCCAGGAACGAAGACGATCGCAGGATCCTGGGAACGAAGTAATATTCTTTTCGAGAGAATCGACGGATTTTGTTCGATCGTTGATTTTTCAAGGGCCAGGCTTTCGTTCGAGGATTTATATTAGCTCTGCACGGGGAGGTTTTTAGAAAAGGATCTACGCTGCTGGAGTTTCTATGGATTAGGAGTTCAAAGATCTACGAATACCGGATCAACGACAGATTTCAAGTACTGCAAGTTTTAAAATAGCTTCAGGATCTAGGGAAATTATAGTGAAACTTCGACGTAAAGAACTACTTTGTGAGCGACTATAAATGGTTGAATAAAGGATACGAGTAATTTGAACACAGGAATTGCTCAAGGAATTATAATTACGAAGTAAATCCGTTACGTTATAATTCGATCACATTGTTATCCGTAATTGCAATTGGAGTACAATTACAAAATGCTGAGTAACGAAATTCCATTAATTATGAATTAACTGGTAATAAGAGAAGAAAAAATATACGTAGAAAAGAGATATCAAATCAGTCAAAATTCTGGGCTGTAATTTGAAGAACTTTGTTTCAATTACAATGTACATCAAGTGCATTGCACTTCAATTACACTCGTGACGAAAATAATTAGCAATTGAATGAACTGAAGGGCTTGAATTATTTAGTTGAATTGCTATATAATTGAAATACAATATAATTAAACTATGTAATTGAATTAGCACAACTCTTCTGTGTAAGACTTTCAGGATCTACGATTCTTGCGATTTCCATGCGAGAAAATCTCTCGAGGATCTGTACTTTCTGGAATATTCGCTAAAAACTGTCAGAATACCAGTGAGAAGTGTCCAATAAACTAGTACAAACCTCCAAAGGAAAGAATGCTCGATCAGAAGAATAGTCAGAATGGATCAGAGATTTGCTAATGCAACGAAATCACTTTCTCTGCAATTGGGAGCAGGAAATGCTTACAATTGACTCGTTCAAATGGAAATGACGAATGATCACTGCGCAGGTCCGTAAGATCGCTTCTGGATCCCTGGATCACGCGATCCCTCGCGTTCCAGCGAACACGTGCATCTCGTGCTGTAAATAATATCATTTTCTCCTTCACGTTCGCTCGATTACGACCAACAAACGCCGACTTAACCGATTCGAGGAGAAAGAATTACGCGAGATAGCCAGTGTAAACGAGAGAGAAAGAGAGAAAGCACGAAAAAAATAGAGTGAGAGAGAGAGAGAAAAAATCGAGTGAGAGAGAGAGAGAGAGAGAGAGAAATCGAGTGCGAGAGAGAGAGAGAAAGAGAGTAAGAAAGGAAGAGTGAGTGAGAGTGTGAGAGTCATCCTTTGTTCCTTCCATTCGGTCGAAGAAAATAGAAGAGGAATATTTAAGGAAAACAAATCTTAGCCTCGGTCTGCCCTCGTCGAAAACTGACGAAACGAGAGATCGTCATCTGTGCGACGAAGATGCTCGTGAAAGGAATTATGGGAGAAACGTGCAGCTAAAGGAAGTCTATGGGAGATATCTGGAGAGATGAAGAGAAAATATGTTACGTGCGAGGAGTATGAAATCGAGAGAAAAAGAGAGCGAAAATGAGAGAGTGAAAGTGACAATGAGAGAATGAGAGAGAGAGAAAGAAAGAGAGAGAGAGAGAAAGACGCCCTAGGGCGACTATATAGGTTCGTTTTAAGGCTTGAAGAATTATCTACAGATGTTATGTATACATGTTAATAATATTAATAATACTAATGATAATGGTGACGATGGCGATGCTAATAATAACGTGGATAAGAATAATTACGATAATAATAACAACAATAATGATAATAATAGCGCGGGGAGTGAGTGAACGGCGCGGACCGAGCGACGAATCGATCACGATCTATCGGGATCGAGATCTCGCGTGAAATCTCGACGAAGATCAAACGATCTTGCGGAATCTGCTTTCTGCTTGCAATTCTCTTGCAAACGCCATGATTACTGTTCTCATTTAAAAAGTATTGTCTTTGGTACAGTATTTCGCCGTAGGCTTTACCAGGTCTCTGCTCAGGCAACATTGTTTTCTATCTCCATTTGAGATGTTCTATCACGATTGTTTATGGATCACAGATTTGAAATCCCGCACAACAGTGTCCTATCAAATTGTTAAGTGGCATTGCAGCACCGATTTCTGAGATACGTTTCTTATAAAATCAAGAGACCTATAACGAGTACAGGGACACGATAACATCGTCGAAATGATGAGGTTGCATCAACTCTTGGAAGGAGAAGATTAACAGCGAATCTTACTTTTTGTAGCCAAAAAGCACTTGGGAGCAAAGAATTTGCATAAATCTGCATAAACAGATAATGCTCAATCTCGAATGCTTACTACAGAAACATTAATTTCTTTAATAGGATCGCTAATCTCTTTCAAATCGTCTTTATTAGGCTCNGATCAGAAGAATAGTCAGAATGGATCAGAGATTTGCTAATGCAACGAAATCACTTTCTCTGCAATTGGGAGCAGGAAATGCTTACAATTGACTCGTTCAAATGGAAATGACGAATGATCACTGCGCAGGTCCGTAAGATCGCTTCTGGATCCCTGGATCACGCGATCCCTCGCGTTCCAGCGAACACGTGCATCTCGTGCTGTAAATAATATCATTTTCTCCTTCACGTTCGCTCGATTACGACCAACAAACGCCGACTTAACCGATTCGAGGAGAAAGAATTACGCGAGATAGCCAGTGTAAACGAGAGAGAAAGAGAGAAAGCACGAAAAAAATAGAGTGAGAGAGAGAGAGAAAAAATCGAGTGAGAGAGAGAGAGAGAGAGAGAGAAATCGAGTGCGAGAGAGAGAGAGAAAGAGAGTAAGAAAGGAAGAGTGAGTGAGAGTGTGAGAGTCATCCTTTGTTCCTTCCATTCGGTCGAAGAAAATAGAAGAGGAATATTTAAGGAAAACAAATCTTAGCCTCGGTCTGCCCTCGTCGAAAACTGACGAAACGAGAGATCGTCATCTGTGCGACGAAGATGCTCGTGAAAGGAATTATGGGAGAAACGTGCAGCTAAAGGAAGTCTATGGGAGATATCTGGAGAGATGAAGAGAAAATATGTTACGTGCGAGGAGTATGAAATCGAGAGAAAAAGAGAGCGAAAATGAGAGAGTGAAAGTGACAATGAGAGAATGAGAGAGAGAGAAAGAAAGAGAGAGAGAGAGAAAGACGCCCTAGGGCGACTATATAGGTTCGTTTTAAGGCTTGAAGAATTATCTACAGATGTTATGTATACATGTTAATAATATTAATAATACTAATGATAATGGTGACGATGGCGATGCTAATAATAACGTGGATAAGAATAATTACGATAATAATAACAACAATAATGATAATAATAGCGCGGGGAGTGAGTGAACGGCGCGGACCGAGCGACGAATCGATCACGATCTATCGGGATCGAGATCTCGCGTGAAATCTCGACGAAGATCAAACGATCTTGCGGAATCTGCTTTCTGCTTGCAATTCTCTTGCAAACGCCATGATTACTGTTCTCATTTAAAAAGTATTGTCTTTGGTACAGTATTTCGCCGTAGGCTTTACCAGGTCTCTGCTCAGGCAACATTGTTTTCTATCTCCATTTGAGATGTTCTATCACGATTGTTTATGGATCACAGATTTGAAATCCCGCACAACAGTGTCCTATCAAATTGTTAAGTGGCATTGCAGCACCGATTTCTGAGATACGTTTCTTATAAAATCAAGAGACCTATAACGAGTACAGGGACACGATAACATCGTCGAAATGATGAGGTTGCATCAACTCTTGGAAGGAGAAGATTAACAGCGAATCTTACTTTTTGTAGCCAAAAAGCACTTGGGAGCAAAGAATTTGCATAAATCTGCATAAACAGATAATGCTCAATCTCGAATGCTTACTACAGAAACATTAATTTCTTTAATAGGATCGCTAATCTCTTTCAAATCGTCTTTATTAGGCTCGCCCGGAGTTAATCGTTTAAATTGTATATATCTTATAATCAATTTTTACGTCGTTCTCATTTTTATACAAAATTTCTTATTTACAATATGTGGAAGGATTTTGTTCGTTGCCGATGCAACATTGTTTTCTATCTGAATTGATTTTGAATATCAAACCAGGAAATAGTGAAATATTTGTTTGACCGCGAACGAACAAATGATGAATATTAATGTGTGAATCTCGAGAAAATCGAATTCAGTGGTTTTCGACTGGTTGGGATTATGCGAAACGGGTGCCGCAAGATCGATTGGAATCCTCTGTCGACACCTCGCGCGCGATTCCACGGATGAAACGGTGTCCCCGAAGTTTCTCATCGCCCATCCAATTAAACGGATCCGATTAAACGAGACGGATGTTCAAACACCGTGACTTTTCAGGCAGATCGAGGAAGTCGCCGATGGGTTTCCTTTCCATTCGTTTCATTCGTTTACTCCTGTCTTCGTCGATGGTCGTGTTCGAGCATTTACCGAGTCCCTTTCTCCGCGCACAATGTTGCAAACGATCCAACGAAAATCCATCGATAATTTATGTCACCGCGACGCCAGTTCAAAATTCGAATGGAACCGCTACGACAGAATGAAAACTCTACGAAAGCGTGTTCTTCGGAACTTCGCGTGGAAATGATTCTTAAAGGAATATCTTTGTCCCGATTGGAGTAATCGCACGATTATTCGGTGCAGCGTAACGCCGTTGAATGAAATTGTTCTGATTTTTGCAAAGGGGAGATGTTTTCTTGGCTTGACATCTGCGCGAAGAAGGGGACGCAAGAGTTGTTGACGAATATAAAAGAAATAATAAATGGAAAGCATTGTTGATCATTCGCAAGAAAAAAAAAAGAACTACAGGGGGGGACGAGGATGCCTTCTCGTGCGTCCGAGACCGATAACCATAACGTTCGAGCTAACGAATTACTTCGAGCA